GCAGTACCTCACATTCAGAATAATCACTTTGTCTTCACACCATGAACCATGGGTTCCAGGACAGCCATTTCATGCAGGAGAAGCAAAGAAAATCGAAGCAGATACCAGAGTACACCAGAGGGCTGCATTTCTCAGGCTTATACCAGCACTATAGAGTTGTAGGTGCAGTTTCCTCTTTTCTGTGCAGAAGTCTTGGGGGAGGCCATTGCAAAGGGACTAATTGGGTCAGCCGGTGTGGAAAATATTCTGACCTGGAAACAAAGCTTGAACATCTAGAAGCCTTCAAGATTGATCAGCAACCAATTTTTATTCCCATGCTTCTCTTGGCCCTTTCCCTGGCTCTCCCTGGGTGCTCCATTCCTGTTAGACCATAGGACTGAGAAGGAGTGAATCCCTGAGATGGAGAGGGTCTTTCTCCCCTTTCCAAGAGAACAGGGACAGCCAGAAACAACTCAGCTCTTTGAGGCACTTCTCATACCTTGCTCAGGTGAGCAAGTATTGTCGTTCTCTCCACTACTCAAGCATAGAATCCAGTAGCTCTTCAGCCTGCCATACCTGTTTCCTCAGAGAATCCCTATGCTCCCTGATAGCATTACTGTCTGCAGCAGAGCATAAGCAGTGTTTAACACAGGTATAGGACTTTCCTACATGGTCTCTAGTAGGTTTTGGTGTTTAGGTATCTCACTGTTTCTTTGCAACTTACGGACATCTTCAAAGACAAAATGGGCTTTACCCTTTTTTAGACAGCCTTGTCCCACTGATTTCAGTTAGTTATCAAAGCAATGTTGGTCATGGCTTCCACTGCATACGGTGTCACCAAAGAAAGCATCAGAGGTTGGTGTTGTCCCTTTTCTATGATAACTTTCTTCTACTTCTTGGAGAAGAAGAGGAGGATCCCCCACCCTCCCGAAAGGAGTTATTCAACCCAAGATGACGTGTTAACTCTTAATTAAAACCCTAATAGGAATCAGGAGATTTAGGTCTTTGCTCTAGTTCTGTCACCGAGTTGTTTCTCATCTGTGATGCAGCAGAGGAGAATGTTTCCCTACCTTGCAGGCTGGTTGTGAGGGCTAATTAACATTTTTATAGTGCTTTGATAAATACCATTGCTTATGTAAAAGAAGTAGCATTTTGATAAATGCCATTGTTAATGTAAAGAAGTAACATTCCCACTGAATCTGTAAAGATGCTGGAAGAAGATACAATGGAATGAGACAATGTCCCAAACCTCTTTCCAAGGCACATGAAACAACAGTGCGATGGGAACGGCTGGAGGAAGGTTTATTTGATGTTTCTTCATGGTTTCTCGCCCAAGGGCTCTGCTGGTCTCTCTAAATCCCTGGGCCAGACCTTCTCTGGAAAGGTCTATTTTCACACATACATTGTACATTCCAACCAGACTCAAGCTATGGACTTTGATTTGCAGATATGGCTGCCAGGCAGGTTGAATCCCTGCCCACCTGAAGAGTGTTCATGAGCACAGCCCCAAATCTGAGCCCAAGGAAAGAGATAGGGCTGTTTTCGCAGGGGGTGAGGGTACTGAGGAGAAACACACCACCACCCTACAATTATTAAAGGGCTGCTGCAATGGGAAAAAGCACACACTGATTTCAGGTTCAGATAAAAATTCGAGGCAGGAGACCTCCCTTCCCACTGAGACATGCTCTGCTCACCCTGTGTTCCACTGCTCACCTTGGGACCTTGCCTCCTTCTGTTGCAGATTATGTTTGGGACGTGACAGGTCGTTTCTCTCCTCTTTTTTGTCTCTAGTGGATGGGAAGTGGCAGGCCTGGGGAGGGTGGGGCAGCTGCACCACCACGTGTGGAGGTGGGACTCAGAGACGTGACCGTGTGTGCTACGGACCCTTCTTCGGTGGAGAGACTTGCCAGGGCCCCAAGGAAGAGT